GGGGGGGAGGGGGGGGGGGGCTCATGAGAGAAGCACCAGGTGAGTTGATTGACACAGCTGCTGCTGGTTTGTTCTGATTACATTGCTCCCTTTGTCATGCAGTACTGTGCTGGCCCTCAGATGACTGCGGCCCAGACCAAGGAGAAGGACACTGCCTGAGTTTTGGGTTTAAGACTTAAAGGACTGGGAGATGTGCCGGAGGAGCCGGGCAGCCATAGGTACATGCTGTTGCCTCATTTTGTTGTTGTTTTGCTGGGCAGCTGTAAATGCAAGTATTGTATTTAGACGGAAGGCTGAATCTGTGTCTGTGCTGGGGCACTCACAGGGGTGCCAAGAGAGAAAACAAAATAACTGGGAGAGAATAAATTATGTGTAAATAAATTCATGGAAATATCAAATGAAAGATTATAAGAGATGAGGAAAATGTACAAAATGTTCTCAGTAATTACAAATACATTGTATGAACCTGTAGGAACAATAATGGGGATTTTCCTTTCTCCTCTTCTATGGTGGTATAATCCAGACTAGAAAGAAAACATGAACAGAGGAGCAATGAAATAGCAGTTGTGGCCCTGTAGTAACTTCATCAATCCACACATTAAAATACACCTTTTAGAGATACTCAATAATAAAAATTAATTCAGTATTAATAAACATAAATCATAATTCACTCATGTGAGAATGAAATACAGTATGTTAATGTGTGTGTGCCCTGGTCTCAACCATGATCTTAATCATTCGCACATTAAAATATATAAATGAATCATGATTGCTTAGTGTTGGGTATACAGTCACTAACCTTGATAAAATAACCACAGTCAGTCTTCAGGCTTTTTTGTGCAATTTACTCTGTTTATCCACATTTGTGTCCTCTTTTTGAACATCGTTCTCAACACATACATCTTAGACAAGTCCAGTCTACTCTGTATCATCATGATTGCTTTGCAACAAGAACATTTACAGAAACAGAGACTGAACACATCGGCGGGAACGGTACAAAGATTTCACTTTTTCTACTGAGTCGATCAGGGAGGATCTGCCAATACAATACCCTAACTCCCATTTTTCAGTGAAGAATCTGGCTCATGACAATTTGTTTTTGTGAACATCAATTCTTCAAGGATACAAACACAGTGTGTTTTATGTGATGTGATGGATTTCCTCTGTCTTATATCTAAACCAACTTTATAATGGTGGAGTTTGAAACCAGGAAGTAAACAAAGTCAGCCACGTTTTCCTGTCCTCAAAGTATTGTGTTGTCTCTTTTGTGTTTTTGAGCATGTAGAGGATATAAATTAGATAATGGGGGGGGGGGAATTAACATCTAACGGGAAACCTCAAGTCGAAGTTTATAATTCTACTTCCCAAAAATCACATCTGTGTTCACTTGTTACATTTTCAGTGCTTGACAGAGATTTCTAATACAAACTGGAGTTCAAATACAACTTTACTCAGGACATGTGGGCAGAAGATTTGGTGGGGACTACTGATGTAGATTTAAAGGCATTTAATTACCACACTGTAACAAATGATAGCCATAACTGAAATCACAAAGAAAATCAGAGTTGACATACTTTTGATAAACAGTAACATGTTGAAGGAGCGCCAGTTTGTGGATACAGGAAATATTTTACACAATGATTGGACTATTTCAAAATTAAACTCCAGGATAAAAGCAATCAAGATGATGTGTCTGAGTAATAAGCAATTTATGGAAAGTTTCTTTTCCCCAAGCTGGACCCTGCAGCTCTATACAATGCAGTCCTTAATATACTGTACGTAACACTGCGCTGCTCTTGAACATACTGCGTGAGATTTCTGTCAGCAAGCCAATACCAGCTGGAGTCTGTGCTCTTATAGGGAAAATCCAGCTTGATTATAACTCATATTTACTCCCTCAGAGTGATGAAACAATCAAACTTTGTCGCTCCATATTTATTTAACAAAACCCAATTATAGTTTGAATTGTTGCCAGTACAGTATACTTCTTTTATGATCTGCCTTCATTGTGTGAAAAAGCTAAGCTTACTTACTGTGGCTCACAAGCACAGCCAGGCGGTCTCTGCTCAGTGAACGCAGTGTGTGAGCTCTCTACACAAGGATTTTCCCTCTAAGTAGCAGGGACAGTGAGCACTTTACAACAGCAGGGACACAAGTTACTGATTACTGCAACTCTACAACAAGAGATCATCAACACTGATAAGTTGAAACTATAGTCCAGCTTCAAAACATCTCTGGCAATTAGTAGAATCACTTTAACACCATTCAGTAAAATGTGTGACGAGTTGGCCCCCATTTTCCCCATTGAGCCCTGCTGTTGAGAAGTGGTTATTGTAAGATTTACTTCAAGTGAATTGGACTGGAAATTAACTTGTTGTCGCCTGCCAAAATCAATCATCCTTGTAAGAAATTTCACCAGCCAGCTGAAATATCTGAAAACAACAGGGCCTCCGAGTGAGGGTTGGGCACCTGCCAAAGCGGCTGGCAGATGCCGAACCACAGCCAAAAACACTCGGCAGGTGTCTGGTGGTGGTTTAGAGTCGAGATTGTGGCACATTCTGCACATCCTGATGACTGCTGTTTAATCATACTCACATCAGGCAGTTCAATGCACTGTAATGCACTGCGGCGTGGGTTTTAAGACACGAATCTGACATGAAATCAATAGAAAGTGTGTTCTAATTACAATGCACTCATGATGTTCTTATGATGATGTCATGTTAGCTACATGAGCTACACCTCAAAGCTGTTCCCAGGGCTTCTTATAGAACGGAATAACAAAGAGAGACCACTGAGCCAAAAAGCAAACAATCCTCCAGCTGCACATTGGGACATTACTGGCTGCACTTCACTTCTTATAGAAACACAGGTGCCTTGCATGGGACTTCAGAGGCACAGCTTATTCAGTAAGGCAATTACGTACATGTGAACTGTCGTGTGTTTTCTCCAATGTTGTCATCTCATAAATAAAGTCTAAAATAATACTGTACATTCTAATGGAATGGTGGCAATTAAAATGGAAATGAAGTAAAAAAGAAAATATAAAAGCACCTGTAAATGTACTGTCCTACTTAGGCCAAATGGCTGAGTCATTCTGTGTGTGTACAGTAGTCACTGACTCTGACAGGCAATACTGAGTTCTATCAGGGCAGAGGTGGTATTAAAGGGATAGTTCACCCCAAAATCAAAAAACATTTCCCCTTTACCTGTGGTGCTTTATATCAGTCTAGATTGTTTTGGTGTGAGTTGCAGTGTTGGAGATATCACCGTAGAGATGTCAGCCTTCTCTCCAATATAATGAAACTATATGGCACTTGGCTTGTGGTGCTCAAAGTGCCAAAAAATACATTTGAAACACTCAACAGCAATGTCTCTTTCCAGAAATCATGACCCAGTTACTCAAGACTCAGACCTTGC